CCACCATCAACAGTGGGAGACCATCATAAATAATTTATTTTTAAATCAAATTGCAGTTTTTTATTTAACGAATTGTGATTAAGTTAACAAATATTTGCAATAAAATGAGATATGATGAACATTTAATGATAAAATGGCTATTGCGTAATTAACCAGTAAGGAAAGTTCAAATGTCGGACGGAGCCGACTATATGATACCATTCACCACTTTGGATACATACAAGAGGTGCAAATATATATAATATCCTATAGATAGAGGACCATCGAAATGGAATGGGGCGAAACTACATGTGTGATCTACATAGATATGTGAACCAAGTAAAAAACTCAATGCACATACCATTCTGAAATCTATGAAAATTTGTATGTCAATCGGATTCTTTTGTGTACCATTTGTATGAAATCTAGGAAAATAATGTATGTGAAGCTATATGTAAATCTGTCTCAAACGGAAAAATATTGGAATTTTGGTGCACATAAAAAAAAAAACTTCATGTACACCAAGCAGAAGAAGATATTTGTAAAATTTTAGAAATGCATTCTCAAATGACAAACACATCATATTTACATACACCAAAAAGGCTTTAATTATTAAGACTTTACAGAAATGAATTATTAAAAGAAGGAAATCAGAGTAAGCTCCGTAGTTTTCTGGATCGGAATGCACAACATATAAAATACTTCAGAGAGAAATACCTTATCGACAATATGCACTATATGGACATCGATCTTTTGCAACAAATAACATAAAGTCATACATTTTGATAAAAATTTGGTTCGCCACATATGTTATTCCTCTTATTTTGGAGTCCCACAATGGACCACAATTCTCCTCTAGGCAATTTTCTGTCACTTACGGAAGTTAGCTTCTGGAAGTAATTTGTAGAAGTAATTACAGCGAACTTCCTGCACGAAATTACACATGTGTTTACAAACAAATTGCCGTAGACGTAGCTTTCTCTACGAATGACAGTATAATATTAAAAAAAACAACACTATAAGATGGAGTGTATATTTGTAATTCCTAATTATGTTGAAATCACGATAGAACGATTTAACATTTAATAAATATTTTTGTAAAAACGTCACATTACAATTGGACTTTCGAAGTCTTACAAATTCACCTATACAAATTGATATGAAAAAAATATTTTTCAACATTCACGCCTATCGAAAACTTGAAAGGAATATTTAAAAAAACCTCTAGAATTTTCACTTTAAATTAGGTTAAAACAAATTTTAAATCCACATATAAAATTAGATTTAAAACAAATTTTAAAAAATTCACGTATAAATTAGATTTGAAAAAAAATATTTATAAAAAACCAAACCTAAAGCCTATGAAAACAGGATTAGTATATTTTTATATATCCACGTCATGAAATTTTTTTTATAAATCCTCTTGAAATTTTATTTAAAAAATTCACGCTTAATATTATTTGAAAAATAAAACCTCTTTATTTTTTTAAATACACGTCTACAATAAGATTTAAAAGATTTGAGTTCGGCCCGACCGAATTTTTTATACCCTCCACCATGCGGATGACAATCACAATATCTCCTATGAGAAAATTCATGTTATGATAGAACCTTGAACATACCGAAAATACGTAAGAAAAAGATTGATTGAAATTCTCAAAATATCTAATAGTGCAGCTACCGTTATATGGGGCTATAATAAAACGGATCAATATTGATATTTGTTGGTAGTGAGATTTGTCAGTCATATACAAAATACCAAATTACAGCCAATTGGGTTGGACAGTGTGTCCAAAATGCCTAAATACCGAATACTAAGGGGTATCTTATATGGGGGCTACCCTGAGGCTTATTGATATTAATAATTTTTAGTAGGGATATGTGTTATTCAAACTGAACTCAAAATACCAAATTACAGCAAATTCGGTTGGAAAACGTACACAAAATCCTTAAAATTCGAATATTGGTGGGCACCATCATATTGGGGATGATTTCTACAGGCAGACGGAATCCGTAAATTGACATAGAATTTTATTCTGATCAAGAAAATATGTACTTAGTGCGGTCTCCGGTGAATATTTCGAGGTGTTGCAAATGGAATGACAAATTTATAATTGTAGGCGTGTTTTTAACGCCTAAAAATTAGTTTAAAAAAATCCTCTTGATTTTTTTAACCCCTGCCTAAAATTTTACTTGAAAAAAGTTATTTTTAAAATAATCTTCGCCTTCAATTAGTTTTGGAAGAAATCCCCTTGATTTTTTTTATATAAAAACGCTCTTATTTTTGTTAAACCCATGGCTAAAATTATACTTAAAAAATTATTTTTAAAATATCAACGCCTAAAATTATATATAAAAAATTATTTTTGAAAGACCACGTCTAAAAAGATTTGAAAAATAGATATTTTTAAAAAATTCGCTCCTAAAATTGATGTTAAAAAAATTATAATCCACGCCTAAAGCCAGGCATGTCAAACTAAGTTTTTAAAATCTCCAATGAATTTATTTTTGTCTTCTCTTTTTTAAAACATTCGTGTTTTGTATTTTTTTTTACATTAAAATTCATAATAAGAGAATATTCATTTGCAAAAATAATTTTTCTCTTATAAAACAATAAAGAGAGCCAACAAACCAAATTACATCTCTCAAAACAAGGCATATTATTATTTTTGCACAGTTATGGGAAATTCTTGTTGTTTAGCCATAAATTCAAATCAATAAATTTCCATGATATCCCTCTAAAAATTATAAATCATTCGCTACCACCATAACGATAAGATTGCAACGTCATATTTTTTGCTAAGGAAAGCAGGCAACCCGTCTAACAAACCAAAACAATAAATGCCACTTAACTTAAATTACTTTAATCGTAAATTTAATTAATGGCAATGGCGTGATAAGAAGCTAACCAAGATTTCCTATGCCAGAAAGTGAAATTAAGTTTATCAACGACAAAACCAAAAAAGAAATAAAAAACCCCGTGTTCAATAAATGTGCAATGATTTATTGAAAACAAACAACAAACATTCGCAATCACACTTTGAACTTTGTTACCAAAGGCTCAAAAAATATTCGTCAAAATAAAAAAGAATTCCTTTACAAGAAATGCGTAATACCGGCTTCCTTGATCATGGCCATCAATGAGTCCATAGTCTCTTCACCGGTGGGAATAATTTGGGAAGCAGGCAATTTGAAGCCAGTCCAAAAGTTCAAGCTGGATGGACGTAATTCATAGCAGTAGGCATATTTAACACCTTGGGTACCATAGGCCCAATCAAGACTAGCACCGGCAGCAGGATAGATGGCATCATAAATGTTACCACCAGTATATTTTGTGCCATAACGTTCGGCCGCGGCATCAATGGCCACATCGAACACGCGTTTCAAATCGTTGTAGTTTGGTGGCAATTCATTGGTGTGACCATAGGGGAACAACAACAACTGCGAGTAGGAATGGAATGAGACAAACAAGAAAATTTTGCCCTTCAATTCGGTGGCAATATATTCGGCAAGGGTTTTGGTTTCGATTTCGGAGAAAGCAGAAGGACCAGCATAGGTATCAGAGCAAGGGTTGTCGCTGGCACCAATTTCGTTCCAATGGAAGTCCCAGTTACGATTGGGATCAGCACCGAAGCAACCGTTTTCATAGGGAGTACGGGTCTTACGCCACAAACGATCAGTGGTGTGAGTGTAGACAAAACCATCAGGGTTGGCGTGTGGTACAATATACCAGTCAAAGCTTTCAGCAATCATGCGGACTTCTTTATCGGTGCTGCTCAACAATTGGTTAAGGATATAGGTGGTGGTAGCGGGTCCAATCCATTCACGAGCATGCATACCGCCTTCCAAGAAAATACCCTTTTTACCGGGTCCATAGGTGATCTTAACACCCAAAATATCACGACCTTCATAAGTACGACCAGCCTTGAAGATACTAACAACACCGGGATATTTTTGCTCCAAGCTATGCAACCAATTGTAAGTATCCTCCAACTCATGGTATTCCGTCCAGCTATAATCGTCACTGCGTCTGTTGGGATTGGCCACAATGTCATCTTCCAAATGAGCTTGAACATTGGTTTCCATCAGTTCATAGGCAATGGAATAGTTTTCCAAAGCTTTCACGAAATCAGGTACTCTATGAGGAGCTACGACAACATGGATTTTCGAATTGACATAATGTACAGCATCCAAGAAAATATACGAATCGCGGGAACCATCCAATTGCTTGACAAGTTCCAATTGTTCTGCAGTCTTGGGTTGCAATTGATAAACGTGGTAGTTATCGTAGCGGGCCTTCAAAGCCAAAGAAACGGAGGCCAAGCCCAATATGGCCAAAACGAATGTAATCGATAAACCCTTCATGGCGCGAATACTTTCGACGAATAGTCGTAAAACTATGTTATTTTATGGCTTTTATAGGTTTCCCTACACGGGCGACTACCACTTGGCCTGATAACTATTAGCAGTGGGTTAGCTGCTGTTTGAGAGAGATTAGAATTGTGGCAACTTAAAATGAGTGAGATATGAAAAAAGGTAAATGTGTGTGCGGGTGTGTGTATTTTTTCTTCAGCAAAAACACTCCAAAAAACCAAATGATAAGCTTCCAATACGTATTATAAAAAATTAATAGTAAAACAAAAAATGCAAGGAAATTTTTATTAGATATAGAAAAGGCGAAAATGGATACATAGATGATTAACACTCAATGCACAGATCATGATACCCAAGAAGAAATAAAACTGAACTACAGATTTTCAGATCAAAGTTCATGTTAGCTAATATATGAACTACTTTTCTCCATCATATTTTTGGTATATTTATTAAATTGTTTTAACTTTAAAGATCCTCTTAATGTCGTAAAATCTACTATGACCTTTTAAAAATATTTACTTATATTTCCAGTTTTTCCATACAACAAAATTTCCGACCATATTTTCTGGCCCAAACTCCAATGGAAATGTTTAGACACCTACTCTATTTGGATGATTTCTATTTGTTTCCATATGACAAGAGTAAAGCCAACGAAACTATATTAACAAAATTGGATATTTTACTACGCATGATGTATAATACCAGTGATTATCCCGTTCAGGATATTCTCACCGAGCTTGGTCCAGATTGTGATGATCTTATAATAAGAGGTATTGTTTATGGCATACCGGTAAATATAAGTGATTATTTTCGTAAACGTCTGACAACAAATGGAGTTTGCTGTATGTTCAATTATAAACGTGAAAGTTATGCTTATGATGAGTAGGTAGCTTCTAATAAATAATTTAATTTATTAATATATAATAATATTTAACTCATATTTCAGAGAAATTCGCAATGAAGATAATCGTTTTATACGTGAGAAGCAGCCAATACAATTTGAAGCTAATTCCATTCTAAATTCTATACAATTTGTGTTACAAAGTAATCCGGAAGATTTTACGGTGCGAGATTTTGATATTGATGCATTTGAGGTAAGCACCTAACGGATACATCTATTAACAATAATTTTAAATCCCCACTCTTCTTTTAAAGATAACAGTATTCCCTCAGTATGATTATGCCAACATACAATCGAGTCACATTGGTCATATATTAGTTGATTATTATTCCATAGTGGAAATACCCATACAACCAGAATTTTATGATTCCTCTGAAAGAATACGACAATTTAAGCCAAGCGTACGCAATTGTTATTTTCCCGATGAGGGTCAAAAGGTTTTAAATCGGTAAGGAAATACTGTCGAAATTGCTTACAATAACTGTGAAGTAACCGGTGATATGTAATAAAGAACAGCGCTTTTCTCGAAATTTTAGGATGCCGTCGTTAAAAGCCATACATTATGAAAAACGATTTCGACTGCACGATAATTCGATTTCGACTGCAAAATTATGGCGTAATTAATTATAAATTATGTTTTTTTTATTTTAGATCATATTATTCCATAGATGAATGCTTATTACAATGCCGTTCCGAATCTATGATAAAACATTGTGGTTGTGTTAGTCCACCAATGGGTGCTATGGCTAATCTAACATATTGTAATTTAAATGCCTTGCCTTGTTTGCGTCAATGGAATGCCAAATGGCATAATTGGAACTATTTCGCCTATGTCAATGATGATAATATGGATGATAGTGATTTAATGGCCGCACGCAAATGTCCGCATTGTCTGCCATCTTGCGATGGTGTAAATTTCCGAATTCATTTAAACGAGATGACAATGCGAAGAGCCTATGGTGGAATATATAGTCATGGTTTATTGTAAGTTTAATACCCAATTTCATTTCGAGATATTTTAATATCATTTAGATCAAAAATATGTCCCATCGAAATAAATCTTTTAAAGACTTTGGACCAAATCCATTTCAGATAATTTGGAGTCGATTTAGTTATACCCTCCTATTTGTCTGGTTGATGTCCAACATATATTTCAAAGAAAGTAAATGATTATATCCAAAATTTGCACACTATATTATGTTTTCTAAACATAAATACATCAATTTCGAAGATGGTCCACATTTTGGGTTTGATAGTGTCCGATTTGGTCAAAAGTTTGCAGATAGTAATATTTTTTTTCGAAAAATAATATCATGATCGACGATGGGCACTGTTACCCACTACTTCTGGTCCTCAAGAAATCGTAATAATAAAATTTTTATTGAACTTTATAAAGGTTTCGTCCCTGACACATCATATACTCCAACTCAGCAAACCTCTTTAAATTATAGAATATATCGTAAACACTCTAATAAGATGAATTATTTTTCGGGGTTACAATAAATATTATTTTCTTTAATATGTTGGTTTTGAATATTTAATATTAATCTTCTCAGCTTCTCCCTCTTTTTCCTAGTTGCATCTGGAATATACTCAAAACTTTTCATTACTTCTTCTATTATCTTAAAAATAAAGCAGGGTGCGCAAAAATTCGCTCGCGAATAAATTAAATCCCATTTTTTTCGTTTTGTACTCATTTTACTAATGAATTTATAAATTCTCCACCAAACGAGCATTAGCCAAAGAATGTTCGCACACACAAAACAAACGAGTGAGAGGTCAAAACAACGATCATTCGTTTGGTGTAATTTTTATTTGCACCATGAAGATGTATACACTTATGCCCTAAAATCTACTTTCTGTAGATTTGTTATGAGATTGTAACCAATTTTTGTAAATTGTTCTTATTGTTGTAGGAAAGGTCTCGACGATACTAAGCCCCTAGCAATAATAAAATTATTTTTCAAACAACGATTTGCACAGGCCACCGAAATGGATATAATTGGCGATTGGGTTGTGCTATTAAGTAAGTATATTACATTCGTTCTAATTATTTTTCTTTTTTATTTTTGAAAATTATATTTATTACCGTATAACAATGTTTGACTAGTAATGAATAATCTTTATGTATTTGTTTTTTTCTTTCAGATCGTTTTGGTGGCATTATGGGTCTGATGTACGGATTTAGTATTATTAGCTCTTTGGAAATTTTCTACTATGCCACGGGAAAATTTTTTACATTCTATTGGAATAACTGGAAATTGAAAATTAAAAGTAAAGCCGTCGAAACTTCATCAATATTGAAGAATAAAACATTTAAAAGAGAAGAACCTCCACCGGCATATGATTTATACTGGAACGAGTTGATGCCGAAACGTCGGACCAACATTTTATTTGGAAAACAATTGGATACTTAAACATTTTTAAAAATAAAAACCGCAGTGGAGAGGGAGGCACATTTGAACACGGTGCAACGTTGAACAGCTCTGATAAAATAGAAGTTCAGAATTGTTTCATTTATATATGGCAACCTTTTATCTTTAAATTGAACTTAATGTATGATATTTGTATACTCAGTGTAAAGTTATGAGGCTTGAAAGCAAAAATTGGTGAAAGTTGCCTCTTCTCCCTATTTAGTGGAGTTAACATGTAAAAATTCGAATCATATTCCAGTTGAATAACTTGCTACGTAGTAACGACTACTACTTTTTACCACCACTAGATACCTCATAATTTATTCGCTTTATACTGGAATGTTTAATATTACATTAATTTTTAATCTCTTAATAGTAAAATTAAATCTTTCGAAATAAAAAATGCAGTATTAATTTTTCAGAAATATGGATTCTGAAAATTGGATAAAGGAACAAGAATATCGGCCAGAAAACACATGTTTCTCACATTTTCTGCATAATATAATAATAGTTTATGATTATAATACTTTTCTTAAAAACGCTTCTAATAAAAATACCACGGTTGAACTAATTTAAAATAAAATATTTCTTTTATTGCTAATAAATATTAGTTTAATCTAAAATAAGGTTTCTGAAATTTGCCTATAGGCATGCGATTACGTTGTCTTAAACGTCTAACAGCTTCACGTAAATATTTTGGTTGTAAGGCACCTGTATCGCCCATTTCCTCCATAACGTCCAAAGCTAAAAGAACACAAAATATGAGTATGATGATTACTAAAACGTTTGCAGTGACACTGTCAACCAACCTTCCTCCACAATTTCACCAACAAAAACTTTGGCTATACCAGAAATATGGATTCTGAAAATTGGATAAAGGAACAAGAATATCGGCCAGAAAACACATGTTTCTCACATTTTCTGCATAATATAATAATAGTTTATGATTATAATACTTTTCTTAAAAACGCTTCTAATAAAAATACCACGGTTGAACTAATTTAAAATAAAATATTTCTTTTATTGCTAATAAATATTAGTTTAATCTAAAATAAGGTTTCTGAAATTTGCCTATAGGCATGCGATTACGTTGTCTTAAACGTCTAACAGCTTCACGTAAATATTTTGGTTGTAAGGCACCTGTATCGCCCATTTCCTCCATAACGTCCAAAGCTAAAAGAACACAAAATATGAATATGATGATTACTAAAACGTTTGCAGTGACACTATCAACCAACCTTCCTCCACAATTTCACCAACAAAAACTTTGGCTATACCAGACATGGCTATAACAACATTCTGTGAAACGGAACAACCGGTAATAGTTTGCATCAGTCTTTTAACAGCAGCTTTAGGGAATGCCGATCTTCGATACATTTCATAACGATCCAATTGTTCTTCGGTAAAATTTGACACCAGTACTCTGGAATACACAAATTGTTTATTAATACCACCCTCTCTACTCAGTTGTTCTACGCATATACGTACTGCATCTTTTCTCGTTCCTCCTCTTCCATTTCCTTTTTGGATTTCTGTTTTTTATTTTGTGAATTACCATCTGTATCATCTCTGTTGTCGGAATTTTCCGATTTAACTCGACGTCTTTCATCACCATCATCCCTAGAATCTCGGTGATCCTCCGATTTGTGATCCGAATCGGAATTTTGACTACTTTCGCTGGTCTTGTGATTGTCATGATGATGGGAGTCGAAGAATTTCAAATCTACTTCATCCGAGTCGTCTAAACTATTGCTTTTTGTGGGTGGAAAGAATATATCGTCCATTTTATAATCGATTTATTATTTTTGTCTTTATATTATTAAAATTATTTTTTCTAGATTGTTGTGTTTATGTTTACCAACAAGTAGTGTTGTAAAACGTTTTTGTGCGATTGTTCTTACCGACTACCCGGAGTGATGGAGAAGTAACTGATATCGTATAAACACTTAAATGAAGTGTTTTGGCGACAGTTAAAACTTTTTAAACAACTGATTTCTATCAACTGATTGCATTTTTCCAGTATTTTTTTAATAGTAGAGTTAGTAAAAGGGAAACATTTCAAAATTGCTTATAGAGTAAAAAATAATTTGAAAAGTTCGGGAACGCAAATCTAAAAAGCCAAAATTAGATGGCAATACTCCAAAATCAACATAACAAACAACAATCAGAAGTTGGCATTTCTGTTTACCATTTTTTCGAGTTCTGTGAGTTCAGAAACTGTTTTCGAGTAAAAAGTTGCACAACTTGTAAAATTAGTAGATTCTGGGATCTGGGACGGAACTAACATGTTGTTGTTTCTTGTAATTAAAGAAAAGTTCTTCTCTTCGACGGGGGGCATGATTGCCGGTCACTGGATCATCCGAATCTGAAAATAAAAACGCAATTCCAAATAACACACATCTCATCTTAGTATGAACTAGGATTATTGGCTTCACTCAAAAATAACCAAAATGGCGGATTTATTATTAAATCATTTTTTAGAAAATCGGCTAATAACGAGGTGTGTCTGGTTACTTTTCCAGTAACATTTACTCAGTAAGTTCTAGTTATTTTATTTGACATATATGCAAAGAAATTGACAATTTTATAATAAAAATGAACAGTAAAAGAAAAAATTTATTTGGTATGTTCCCCGGGAATATTTAAGCTTCCTGCATCAATACATTGCCCTCTTTATTGGGCTTGCCTAAAAATATAAATAATTAGTTGTAACGTGACCGTTTCATACATTATGCACGACCCCAGTTAATGTCAACCCACCTCAATATTTAGTAGTAAATAACGTCTCACCTTAAACCTAAGCCAGTATCATTACCTGCGTACTTCAACTTCATTGCATTAAACAACAGACAACTTTTTTGAAGTACACAATAATTCTCATTCACTTCATAGTACCATACGGATATATGTTCCACTTTGCCATGCCGAAGTGGTCGACCTCGGACGTTACCGAACTACGAGTGACGAAGATGTGTGGCTTGTCCGCAGTCTCGTATACTGGAGAATGTTAACGACGATTCGACCTCGCTCATAGCCAGCTCCTCGCTCTTTGCCAGCTCCTCGCTCATAGCCAGCTTCTCGCTCTTTGCCAGCTCCTCGCTCATAGCCAGCTCCTCGCTCTTTGCCAGCTCCTCGCTCTTTGCCAGCTCCTCGCTCTTTGCAAGCTCCTCGCTCATAGCCAGCTCCTCGCTCTTTGCCAGCTCCTCGCTCTTTGCCAGCTCCTCGCTCTTTGCCAGCTCCTCGCTCTTTGCAAGCTCCTCGCTCATAGCCAGCTCCTCGCTCTTTGCCAGCTCCTCGCTCATAGCCAGCTCCTCGCTCTTTGCCAGCTCCTCGCTCTTTGCAAGCTCCTCGCTCATAGCCAGCTCCCCGCTCATAGCTAGCTCCATACTAATAACTACTAACCGAACCCTGAAAACCCCGAACCTGCCGACCAACAACGAGTCGATTGTATCCTGCCCTGATCCCCGACGAGCCGACTGTAGCCAGCCGATCTTCAACGAGCCGACACCAGCAAGCCGAGTACCTACGAGCCGATTGCATCCGACCGAACACCAACGAGCCGACTGTAGCAAGCCGAGTACCTACGAGCCGATTGCATCCGACCGAACACCAACGAGCCGACTGTAGCAAGCCGAGTACCTACGAGCCGACTGTAGCAAGCCGAGTACCTACGAGCCGATTGCATCCGACCGAACATCAACGAGCCGACTGTAGCAAGCCGAGTACCTACGAGCCGATTGCATCCAATCGAACATCAACAAGCCGACATCAGCTAGCCGAGTATCTTCGAGCCGACTGTAGCCAGCCGATCTCCAACGTACCGACAACAGCTAGCCGATCCCCAACGAGCCGACTGTAGCCAGCCGATCCTCAACGAACCGACATCAGCTAGCCGAGTATCTTCGAGCCGACTGTCGCCAGCCGATCTCCAACGTACCGACAACAGCTAGCCGATCCCCAACGAGCCGACTGTAGCCATCCGATTCTCAACGAGCCGACATCAGCTAGCCGAGTATCTCCAAGCCGACTGTAACCAGCCGTACAACCCGAATACCAACCAGCCAATTAGTTGCGAGCCGACTTAATCACCCCCGCTACCATTACCGATTAGAAGATTCCAACCGAAAAGCTTATCTCACCTCCCGACTATTATTCATATTGTAAACACCAGAGTATTATAATAAAGATTGAAATTGTAATCACTCGTGTTTTTACTTAAGGTTTGTGGGTCCTTAGGTTGACCTTGGCAGCGACTGAGTTTACTTCAGCCTTAGATAAAACCACTCGTTATAAATGGCGCCCGAGCAGGGACCCGACGAAAAGACGAACAGCGAAAAACCGAAATCCACCGCCAGCGAGGATTCGTCGTGGTCCATGAATAATAGTAGGAACCATTCGGAGGTAAGCGACTTCTTAAGTCCGGAATCACTTAGCTGGATATATCTTCTGAAACGAGAGCAGCTGATTGAACAAAGTCAAAAAGTTGGACTTCATACCGAGGGCTACACCGTAGATCACCTTCGGAAACAACTAAGCAAACATATTAGAGAGAAACGAACACGTGCATCGGCTGAGAACCTATTACGGGAATTAGAGAAGGAAGTTAAAACTTCGGTGCCATCATTTCTACCAGAGGCATCTGTGGAAGTTCCTTCGTCAATAGATCGTACAACGAGTACAATGTCATACATCGAGTTAATGAATATAATTCACCGTTGGTCACTCAAATTTTCGGGTGACCACGATCTGATCGATTTCCTCGAGCGAATTGAAGAACTTGCCGAGTGCTATAACATTCCCCTGGATGGTCTACTCCCTTCGCTCCTTACCATATTAGAAGGAAATGCGCTGAAATGGTACCGAGTGAAACGAGACGACATCCACACATGGACCGACTTCCGATCGGAAGCCGAAAAATTCTTCCTGCCCAAGCGGTACCTAAGCCAGATAGAGCATTCCTTCTACAATCGCCGCCAGCAGAACAAGGAAAAAGCTAAAGATTACATATTAACAATGCTCACCACTTCGCGGCGTCATCCACAATTAAAATCGATGAACCATCTGGATCGCATATACGACGGCCTTCGACCGGAGTACAGACATTATGTACGGCGGTCTGACTTCCAGACCATAGATGAACTGATAAGCCTAACCGACGACTTCGAGCTGATAAAACGGGACGAGGCCCGAATGGAAAAATTTCATACGTCGCACATGCTCCATGCAGCAGATGCCCCCTACTCACGGAGTACGCACTGTTGGCGCTGCAAACGCCCTGGTCACACGCGGTGGCGGTGTCAACAAATTCCGATTCGATTTTGTTCTCGTTGTGGTAGAGATGACGTTCTCTCACGAGACTGCGACTGCATTGATCCCGATCGTAGGAGTTCGGCATCCCCAATACAGCGACCGGTCAGTCGGTATTTTATTTCCGTGTGTGTTGAGGGGATCAACGTAAATGCCCTAATTGATACCGGAGCATCGCTCAGCTACATTGATGAGACTATGCGACGGAAGTTACATTCAAAAGGAGTATTTCCCGGCACGACGAAAAGAAAAATCCAAATGGCCGACCAGACGGTAACGAGTTGCGAATCGGATCTTCGGTTAAATGTCGAGTATAGAGGAAAGATTACTAACCTTGGAGTCACCGTAATTCCAACTCAGGCCGAACCACTGATATTGGGTATGGACTTCCTCGCGAAGCGGTGTTGCAGGTTGACTCTAGATGGTGAAATCATAGTACGAACTAGAGATGAACCGATCATCGATTATGCTCATACGATAACATCTCGGGATTTTCTTACAGTCGAACAGGAAGCCGAGTTAAGTACTATGCTCCTACGCCACACAGAAAAGTTTTCGCAGTCCAAGGGTCTATGTACGATAGCCAAACACACAATAAAATCGAAACATCATGAACCAATAAAACAGCGGTACATACCCCGCAATCCAGCCATGATGGAAGTAATAAATGCCGATAATCTCCTGTCACAAGATAAGATTGAACCTTCTTGTAGTCCATACAGTGCCCCGGTTGTATTGGCTCGAAAGAAACAAGGAGGTTGGCGAATGTGTATAGACTACAGGCAACTACACGAAGCCAGTGAACCTGATGCCTACCCAATACCAAACTTCGCAAAAGTTGCAAGCCCACTAAATTTACTTCAGAAGAAATCGGCACAATGGAAATGGGGACCACTACAAGCGGAAGCATTCGAAAACCCGAAATTAAACCTGACCGAAGCACCCGTACTAGCATTCCCCGACTTCACACGACAATTCTTCCATCAAACCGACGCCAGCCTCGAGGGTTTTGGGCGTTGTTTTGTTCCAACGACCAGCAGAACACGAATCAAGATAAAATATCTAAAGGAGAGTGAATGGCCAAGATCTCAAACCTTACCACAATAAAATCAACACTGTACATTTTATTCCTCGAAGTGAGGGGGGAGATGTAACGTGACCGTTTCATACATTATGCACGACCCCAGTTAATGTCAACCCACCTCAATATTTAGTAGTAAATAACGTCTCAACTTAAACCTAAGCCAGTATCATTACCTGCGTACTTCAACTTCATTGCATTAAACAACAGACAACTTTTTTGAAGTACACAATAATTCTCATTCACTTCATAGTACCATACGGATATATGTTCCACTTTGCCATGCCGAAGTGGTCGACCTCGGACGTTACCGAACTACGAGTGACGAAGATGTGTGGCTTGTCCGCAGTCTCGTATACTGGAGAATGTTAACGACGATTCGACCTCGCTCATAGCCTGCTCCTCGCTCTTTGCCAGCTCCTCGCTCATAGCCAGCTTCTCGCTCTTTGCCAGCTCCTCGCTCATAGCCAGCTCCTCGCTCTTTGCCAGCTCCTCGCTCTTTGCCAGCTCCTCGCTCTTTGCAAGCTCCTCGCTCATAGCCAGCTCCTCGCTCTTTGCCAGCTCCTCGCTCTTTGCCAGCTCCTCGCTCTTTGCAAGCTCCTCGCTCATAGCCAGCTCCTCGCTCTTTGCCAGCTCCTCGCTCTTTGCAAGCTCCTCGCTCATAGCCAGCTCCTCGCTCATAGCCAGCTCCTCGCTCATAGCCAGCTCCTCGCTCTTTGCCAGCTCCTCGCTCTTTGCCAGCTCCTCGCTCTTTGCCAGCTCCTCGCTCTTTGCAAGCTCCTCGCTCATAGCCAGCTCCCCGCTCATAGCCAGCTCCCCGCTCATAGCTAGCTCCATACTAATAACTACTAACCGAACCCTGAAAACCCCGAACCTGCCGACCAACAACGAGTCGATTGTATCCTGCCCTGATCCCCGACGAGCCGACTGTAGCCAGCCGATCTTCAACGAGCCGACACCAGCAAGCCGAGTACCTACGAGCCGATTGCATCCGACCGAACACCAACGAGCCGACTGTAGCAAGCCGAGTACCTACGAGCCGATTGCATCCGACCGAACACCAACGAGCCGACTGTAGCAAGCCGAGTACCTACGAGCCGACTGTAGCAAGCCGAGTACCTACGAGCCGATTGCATCCGACCGAACATCAACGAGCCGACTGTAGCAAGCCGAGTACCTACGAGCCGATTGCATCCAATCGAACATCAACAAGCCGACATCAGCTAGCCGAGTATCTTCGAGCCGACTGTAGCCAGCCGATCTCCAACGTACCGACACCAGCTAGCCGATCCCCAACGAGCCGACTGTAGCCAGCTGATCCTCAACGAGCCGACATCAGCTAGCCGAGTATCTTCGAGCCGACTGTCGCCAGCCGATCTCCAACGTACCGACAACAGCTAGCCGATCCCCAACGAGCCGACTGTAGCCAGCCGATCCTCAACGAACCGACATCAGCTAGCCGAGTATCTTCGAGCCGACTGTCGCCAGCCGATCTCCAACGTACCGACAACAGCTAGCCGATCCCCAACGAGCCGACTGTAGCCATCCGATTCTCAACGAGCCGACATCAGCTAGCCGAGTATCTCCAAGCCGACTGTAACCAGCCGTACAACCCGAATACCAACCAGCCAATTAGTTGCGAGCCGACTTAATCACCCCCGCTACCATTACCGATTAGAAGATTCCAACCGAAAAGCTTATCTCACCTCCCGACTATTATTCATATTGTAAACACCAGAGTATTATAATAAAGATTGAAATTGTAATCACTCGTGTTTTTACTTAAGGTTTGTGGGTCCTTAGGTTGACCTTGGCAGCGACTGAGTTTACTTCAGCCTTAGATAAAACCACTCGTTATATAGTTTCTAATTTAATGAAACTTTGCATTACTTAAAAATTTTCTTCTATTTTATGTAATTTTTATACAAATGACTCTCTTTTCTGAATTTTTGGGTAAACAGACAACATTTAGTAACAATTGTTACAAAATACGATGAACGATGAACTGAAACAAAAACATTGGTTTTTATTCCAACCAGCTGTCATTAGAAATTCTTATTCGGAAACTCTACTTTACAAACATCTGCTTTCTGTCAGCCATTCTCTATTGTCCATTCTTATTCGAAGCAGTTGGAACGTTTTCCAGTGTGATAGGTTCGCAAGGAAAAAAAAACCAAAACAAAACATTTTTGTTTTGATCCTGCTTTATCAGTTCCTTTTGTACATATAATTTCGTTTTAATTTAGTAGCAAAACAAATAAACGCAACGAAAATATTCAATATTTCCCAATATTCCAAGCTTAATATGGATATTTGTATTGTTTGTTTGGAATACAATGGTGACATATTATCACGTCTGACAGCTGGATCAACGGAATGGACTAAATACAATGTACAACACATCATTGAGAAACATTTATGGTGGTGGCATTTCAATGCAAAGAATGAAGACACTAATCCGAAGTGGATATGCAATGAATGCTGGTCAAGATTGTGGTCATTCCATACATTTTTCGTGCGTGTTCAAAAATCCCATAATTTGTTTAATTCTGTACAATTTTGTGTTGAAAAAGAAGCCCCACAAAGTCCGGTCGATGAAATCAAATTAGATAATGACAAAGAAGAAAATGATACATTGACGGCAGAAGCATCGCTTAATGAAGATTTGATACCTCTGGCCAAACGAAAGAGAGGTCGACCCCGTTTACAAAAGGACAACATCGATTGTGTGGTTATAGACAGCTCTGTGGAGTTTATTAAACAGGAAGATTCACCCGTTGATAAGAAGCTACCAATTGGAAATCACGGTAATGTGTTATCTGAAGCTTTACGTGACCTGGACGAGGATGGTGGAGAGCAAAGTGATAGTAGAGATTACGATAATGATTACCAAAATGAAGAGAGCAGTGATAATAAAGCGACTTCAGAAGATGAGGAAATAAGTGAGCTCAGTCCGATAAAACAGAAAAAGATATCCCGCTGTAAAACTATAGCCCATAAAAAGAAAAGTTTGGCAGATGGTTCTTCCATACAATTAACTAAAAAATATGATGAGTATATAGCCCAAAATCATGAATTATTTTGCAGTTTATGTCACATACCTCTGGAGGACTTCAATCATTTGATTGTGCACTTTCGCGATGAGCACAATACAAAGCCCTATGTAATGTGCTGTGATAAGAAGTTTTATAAGCGTGCAGTATTTGTGGATCATTTGCATGTACACAAAGATCCCAATTATTTTAAATGTGAACATTGCGGTAAAGTTTTTGCCAATCGGCGTTGTTTGAAGAACCATTTGGAGTGGCATGATGACAGCCGTAAACCTAGATTTAATTGTAGTGAATGCGGGAAAGATTTCTTTAGAAGGGGTAATATTGTAATAAATCTTATATATGATCAACTTACTTAATTAAACTTAATAATTCTAGGAAGTTTGGAAAAACACCGGCTTCTTCATGTACCCGAGGAGCAACGGCAATTCCAGTGCAATGAATGTGAAAAGAAATTTGCCTCGGAAAGTTTAAGAACCCAACATATTAAAGTAACACATTTATATGTGAAATTGATCTGTGATATATGCGGAAAGGCCTTTCGCGAAAGGCACTCCTTCCAACGACATTTAGCCGAACACACTGGCGGCCCGACACCAAATATTGAATGCGATATATGTGGCATGAAACTGACAAGTATTTATGGATTGAATCGACATAAAAGACTACGTCATACTGAAGAAAATATGCAGGAACAAGTGTGTCCACATTGCTCGAAAGTATCGCCAAATATTGCGGCACACAAAAGTCACATTCAATATTCGCATACGATGCAACGAAGGCATGCCTGTCATTTGTGTGAAAAGGCTTTTCGGCGCCCAAAAGAATTAAAGGAACATTTAAGTACACATACGGGCGAAGCACTCTATACTTGTCCACATTGTCCGCGTACGTTTATTTCAAATGCCAATATGCATAAGCATAGAAAGAATGAACATCCCAAAGAATGGCATGAGGCGCGAATGAAGCGCTTAAGCTCAATGAAAATTCCTATTAATGGAATGCAAGCAAGTACGACGGTCGAAGGAAATTAGGAAAAACGATTTATATTTAATTTTGAATGTCTTAGATGTAAGTCCATTTTAGCATGCAATTCCATAATAGTACTATGTATTTTAGATTATTTATAAGTGTAATTTATAATGTAATTATGTATATTTTGTATTTACATTGTATGTAATATATGTAGAATATAAAGTAAAATAGCAAAAATACAAAGTGTCGCTTTTAGCCTAAATTGGAGGGTTTCCAATGAATATAGTATGTTTACTTTTTACTCATTTTTTTTAATTCAAGGGGAATTAAATTGTCAACTCCATGTTGACAGAAATTTTGCATGGTAGTCAAAATTCAGAGGTAAAAAGCTTTCGTAGGTTTGGGAATAAATGGCATTTCTATATTTGCAAACCAACATTTGAAAAATAATATAGACATCCCATTTATTTTTCCTTATACTTTGTTTAAAAATAAAATGTTTGAAAAAAAAACTCAATTTCCCCATATAACATTGGAAGAAGTAGTTAAAATTAGTAGATTCTTGCAGTACGGAAACGGATCATTGATCTACATTTATTATTGAGCCATGGATAAAAACTTGTCAACTTAAAAAGGGAAAACAATTTCGATTAATATGCGATTATTTCATATTGTGGAACAGAGCCTATGTGAAAACCTACACCTGCGAGCATGGTACAATTATAAAAGGTAACAGCAAGTCTCAGCTGATTTGATTCTAACGTAATACTAGTGTCAATATGAATTTGACAAATTATGTTTTTAAAAATCACCCAACAGGAAAATTGGGAACGCATACAATTTGTAATTGTTCTTTATTAAATGTGCTCCCGTATTCAACTTACTCAATCTGCCTGCTGGGAAAGTTTGAGGAAGCAAATCTTTCTTCAAGGAACAACTCGCTATTCCCTGTATTTTCATATGTGTTACACATATATATGGCAATGGCTCAATTATAGGAAAGATGTGGAAGCGATAGAAATATAAATTTGATAGATTTTCATTCATGTTTTTCAATTTTTATTTTGAGGATTCGAAAATATTCCATTTTCAAAATAAAAATAATTTGATGATAATTTGTTTGTTTGTTTACATTTTTCTGTCAAATGAGTTGACACTAGTAGAACTTACAACAACAAATTTTCATGTGGTTGTTGTATCGTTTTTTGTACAACAACACTTGCTGTTACCTTCTATTATTATACCATGACCTGCGAGATAAAAAAACATGTTTATTAAAACTACATGTTGATTCAAAATGACCAAATTGTACATTTGTACCTTTTTGCAACTATTGGTCTGTTCCCGTACTGCAAAACTACCAATTTCTATTATTTTCTTCGATATCATAAAGGAAAAATTGTTATCGTAGTAAAAAATAGTAGATTCTTGTAGTACGAGATCAGATCATATGCTCGCATAAAAAGTTAGCAACGAATATTTTTTATACTTGTTTAAATTTAAAGGAGATTCAGGCATCGAATGTTAAGATGACATCAATGCCCATGAATAATGTCATCCAGGGAGACCAGCTGGATATCAGCTGCCTCTTAAGTTTGCCTTCTAAATCCATTATTGTGAATTGACTTCCATTATGGAAACGTAAACAAAAGGGAAATTGTTGTCATTAGACTTGAGAAAAACATCTGACTTTCGCTACCTGGGTGGCCTTATTAATAGATCTTGTTTGGCATTGTATGAAATCAAGACGTATTTAATAAGGTGTATGTGACAATCATATGGTTTTAAACTTTTTTCTTTATTGTTTGAGAAAAAAATTGTCAAAACAAATTTCTTCGACGTTTCAACAACGTGCTCAACAACAAAAAATACATTTATATGAACAGAAAATGTTACAATCTCAAATGGCAAAAAAATATATTTTGCATTGGGTTCCTGATTATAGACCTCTGAAATATGGGCCTTTAAAATTTGCAAGGAACCTGTAATGGTATCTGTCCATTGGTGTTTGTCGCATATTCTGAAATATGAGCCTCTATAATGTCTCTAGTGCTTTCTCACAAAAATATCACAATTAAGAATAGATTCTGCAGTGGATCTCTATATGTTAATTTAAATGGAAAAGCATTTGTGGATAGCCGTACTTCGTCCCGAGAATTTGACATAAGCTTATGACAATATTGGTATACTGGCTACGTAACACAATCTTCATTATTTTGTGGTCTTTGAGCGGCGATTTATGGCACACAACTTTTCCACTGAGAAGGGCTGATTTGGAAGCCATAATTAAATAAATATTTAGGAGCCACGGACAGGATGTGGTAAATTTTCCAAAAAAAAAAAAACAATTCCTCAATACTATTTGTTAAAAAAAACGAAAACAAATAAATATTCGTTTTTGTTTATTTTTGACAAAAACTAATTGTCAACATGACAATTTAATTTCTATAACAACAATGTTGTTTTTGTAAAATATTTGTTGTTGTATCTGATGCATATACCTTATTAAATACACCTTGGTATGAAATATAAAGTTATAAAGGGTAGGACGTGAGCCAGGAGGGAGAGGAGTTAATAAGAAAAAAAATTATAAAGGGATATCAGAGTTAATCTTAAATTTGAGTTAATCTTATCAGAGCTAACGCCGTTCTTCTTTATTATTGTACAATAAAACTTAACAAGACCGTCTATGTGTTCCCTCCAACTTCCGAGCTAAACTTTTTATATCCTCCACCAGGTGCAGTGCATTCAAAATTCCTTACGTCGATCGGGACATTTATGTAGGGACTATTTTATGGAGTAATGTGAAAAAGAAATGCTTCCCATCCCCAACAATTGAGAGCATTTATTGACAAAAAGCATGAAAAAATTTCTAAAATTTAAAAAAATTTCAGAAAAATTAAAGTGATGCATTAACTAGTGTCAACGTAATTTGACAGAAAAATGTAAACAAACAAATAAATTATATTTATTTTCAAAATAAAATATTTTCGAATCCTCAAGATAAAATTTGAAAAACATGAATGAAAATCTATTAAATTTATATTTCTATCGCTTCCACATCTTTCCTATAATTGAGCTATTGGCACTTATATGTGTAACACATACGAAAGTGAAGGGAATTGCGAGTTATTCAATGAAGAAAGTTTTGCTTCCTCAAACTTTCCCAACAGGCAGATTGAGTAAAATGAATAATAAAAATGAATAATAAAGAACAATTTCGAATTGTATGCTTTCAAATTTTCCTGTTGGGTGATTTTTAAAACATAATTTGTCAAATTCGTATTGACACTAGTATTACGTTGGAATCAAATCATATGGGACTTGCTGTTACCTTTTATAATTGTACCATGTAGCTATGGTTTCAATCCATAGGTGATGCACACAAAGAAATTGAAATTTCCGTGCAAAACATAAAACAAAAGGTTTGTAAAAGAAAAATCCATTGACATTAATTATGAATAGGGTTGTATGAACGGGTTAATTCATGTACGTAATCCTATAAGCGAACTACGTTGTTTGAATGCTCGTCAAAACATGCCATAAAAACGTGTACCAGAAACTCGATGTCGAATGAAAGAGGGAATCCACACAATAATTTTGGTATACTAAGTATAAAATTTTAATATTTTATGTCACCCTGTAGTTTTGATAAAAAAATGTGTTATCGAAAGTTCTCAACGTAGCTAACTTCACGCAGATTCCCTCGTGCGTGTTTCTTTTTGCAAACGAACGGCTTTGCAATTGTTCTGGTTTTTATTTTGTAGAGCATTCAGAGTAATTTTATTTCACGTAAAATTTAGTATATTTTTATGTTAGAATCTTTATACGGGATAGAACATCTTTCAAAGCTCTACAAAAACCAGAAAATATGTCGGCCGTCGTAGAAGAGACCAAAGTTGAAGGCGCTGTTGAGGCCACAAACCAAGAGGCCCCCAGCAACAATCAAGAAGCCACCACACAAGAAGAACCCAAAAAGCAAAAGAAACCAAAACCCAATAACAAGAAATTGAGACAAGGTAAGGCGATACAATTGGATTTATGTAATTAATGACCGGTATAGGGTTTAACAAAACTTTTTTTTTTATTTTGTGGATATTGTTTGTTATTTGTAGAAGCTGCCGCAAAGAAAGCAGCTGATGGTGGTGGCGAAGCTGGTGCCGAGAATGAAAAGGCCGGTGGTGAGGTTAATGGCGAATCTGCCACTGCTGGCGGTGACGGTGAAAAGAAATCAGCAAACAAGAAGAAGAACAAAAACAAAAATAAGGCCGGTCAAAAGAAGGGCGGGCAAACGGAGCCACCAACTGTGCCCATTGCCGAACTATTCCCAGATGGCAATTTCCCAGAAGGTGAAATCATGAAACACCCCGTACCCAAGGATATGCCTGACGATCGTACCGCCACTGATCGTTTCACTTCGGAAGAAAAACGTGCCTTGGATCGTATGCACAATGATATCTATCAGGAGGTGCGTCAAGCGGCCGAAGCACATCGTCAGACACGTCAATATATGCAACGTTATATTAAACCCGGCATGAGCATGATTCAAATTTGTGAAGAACTTGAAAATACTGCTCGCCGTTTAATTGGTGAAAATGGTCTAGAGGCTGGTTTAGCTTTTCCTACCGGTTGTTCGTTGAATCATTGTGCTGCCCATTATACACCAAATGCTGGTGATACCACTGTCTTGCAATACGATGATGTGTGTAAAATTGATTTTGGTACACACATTAAGGGACGCATTATCGATTGTGCATTCACATTGACTTTCAACGATAAATACGACAAACTGTTGGAAGCGGTTCGTGAGGCCACCAATACCGGTATTAAGGAGGCTGGTATTGATGTACGTCTATGTGATATTGGTGCTGCAATTCAAGAAGTTATGGAATCCTATGAAGTTGAATTGGATGGTAAAACGTATCAAGTTAAGGCGATACGTAATTTGAATGGTCATTCGATTAGTCCATATCGTAAGTACAATTTCATTGTTTCTAAAATTGTTTTCCAATTAGAAATTGTGGTTATTTAAATGTTTCTATGATATTAAAGGGACAAATCCAATATGAATTTTTATAGTCCTTTATATTTTGTACAACGGAATTTGTTTATAAAAAATATTAGAATATCGTTTGGCAGTCCTGGGGGTTCTCAATACTTTTTCTCTCTGAATTCCCTTCAATAATAATTTACTGATTACAAAAATGTAATTTCCCTATCGAAGAAGTCTTCCTGAGATATGTGTCTCCATCATCATTTTAAAGATTAAAGACATTGATTAGAATTTTGAAAGGGTCCCGCGGATTTTTGGAACTTTAAACGTTTCAAGATGATATCCTTATTTCATATATTTGTACCATTGTAATCAGGGACCTAAACTAGACTTGTTAACTCCATTCTTTTAATATAATGTCCCCTCAACGACTACCTATGGTAAACATTTCAAAACGATCCGCGACCGGGCCCTAAACTTGACTTATTCCCTTCATTCTTTATATAAAATGTAACTAAATCCCTTTCATTAATTGCATATTTTTATCCCCTCCTTTCCAGGTATTCATGCTGGCAAAACTGTACCAATTGTCAAGGGTGGCGAATCGACACGTATGGAAGAAAACGAATTCTATGCCATTGAGACATTCGGCTCCACTGGCCGTGGTCTAGTTCATGACGATATGGATTGCTCTCATTACATGAAGAACTTTGATGCTCCATTTGTGCCATTGCGTCTGCAATCATCGAAACAACTTTTGGGTACAATTAATAAACATTTCGGTACATTGGCTTTCTGTAAACGTTGGTTAGATCGTGCTGGCGCCACCAAATATCAAATGGCTTTGAAGGATCTTTGCGACAAGGGTGTTGTCGAAGCCTATCCACCATTGTGCGATATTAAAGGATGTTACACAGCCCAATATGAACATACAATTATGTTGCGACCCACATGCAAAGAAGTTGTTTCACGTGGTGATGATTATTAAATCGGTCGTTTGTTAAACAAAAAAAGGAAAGGCAAAGCGAATCGTTTGTTGTATATTGTTTCACTATGCGAAATGTGAAATATTTTATCAATATTTGAGAGTTGTAAAACCGTTTATTATCTTTGAATGAAAACATACATACATATATATAATAACTATCAACAACACATTTAATTATGAATACCCATATTTTTTATTTTTACCAAAAAAATATATATGAAAACAAAATCCATACATACACCCCTCCTAACGTTTATTAAATTTTGTTGTTATCAAATAACAAATTATGATTTCTCGTTTTTTTAATGAGTTTTTGATAAGAAATCATGGAGAAATTTACTCATTGCTAATAAAGAATGAATAATATTTAATATGCGAAAGGAAAACAAAATTAAATGAGTTTCTATTTTACGATTTAAATGGTGCTTAATAGAAGGCTTAAAAATAAATATTGATCGAAGTCATGTCATATTTCTATATATAATGGATAGTGGTTGGATATATCTTTTGCGAGCCAGGCAAAACAGCTCTACAAAAAAATTACGTCCTGCCCGTTTGTTGACAATCAAGTGATTTAGCAGCAATAAAATCCAATATAATTGCATCAAGGAAGAACTACATAAGTTATTATTATTCTTTTCAGAGACTGTTACCAGGCTTGCTAGCCTATTTTCTATTGACGTATTTCAAAAGAAGTTTCCACATGGGTACCCAGTCAAAACAAACTTGTCTGTAATAGTTCATACGCATAGCTAAACCCACTGGTTTCTCGATTTGTACTTGTGATGCTGTTTTTATAAAAACTTTTCGTAGCCAAACTCAACATAATTTTCAAAATCATAAATTTGCATTACAAAATATTTTATATTTTATTGTTTCCTAAAATAAAAATTAAATTAAAAATAATTACCATAATTAAAAAAATTAATCAAAATTAATTTTGAATCTTATAATCATTATTTTTTTGTTTTGTGTAACTATATTACATTAGTATAATATCGGCACTATAATTAAGTGGTAGACCAGCACTTAGTGAATTACTCGGTTGCATACTGCGTACAACATCCTCCGTGGTCGCCTGGACATCTTGTGTAAATACTTCTTTGGCCACCAGTGTCTGTGATTCAACATAATCTAGACCCGGTTCCGGTTTGGCACCCAATAACAGCGTGCCTTTTTGTACACCCATATACTGGGTGGCCTTGGCATTTAATGGCAATAGGCCACAGGTTTCGGCATGCACTTTACGATGGGCTTGCAAATTGGATACACATGTAAAACGCTTACCACAACCATTGCACAGAAAACGTTTAATGCCCGTGTGCACAGCCATGTGAGTTAGCAAACTTTCACGATACGGATAGGCTTTGGGACAGAGCTGAAGGAAATAAATATTAATCAATTATAAATATGTGAATTATAACAATAGTTCATTAAAAATACTTACATGACATTTGAAACGCTTCTCCTCCGAGTGACCATATTTAATGTGTGTTTTATATTGAGCTTTGATCTTAAAACTTTTACCACACTGATCACATTGATAGGGACGATCATCCTTATGCAATAGCATATGTGTCTTTAGGATACCCGCCGTCGTAAGACATTTTCCACACACTTGACATTGATAGATCGGTACACGACCACAATCGGAACGTACATGATCCATTAATTGTGTTCGACCCATGAACTTTTTACCACATTTGTCACAAATCAAATTACGTTTAAATTGTACCTCCTTGGTACCGTGTATACGCATCTTATGCGATTTCAAAGCATCACTACCAGTCATAAATTTCTCACATATTTCACACCACAACAAATCTTTGTGTACTTCATGCGCGTGTGCCTGGGCTTCTTCACGTGTCGCAAAATACAGAACACAATAGCACGGGCATTTGTGTATTAGATTACCATCTGGTCCATGTTTGGGTATGTGATCTTTAAGACGTTTTTCCATCAAATAAATCTTATCACAGATATGACATTTGTACACATCTTCTGTGGGCAATTCTTCTATTTCATCCTTGAGCAATTCTTTGATTTCTTCATCGTTTTTATGGTGATCATCGCGTAAATGTTTTTCAAACGGTTTACGCATATAGTATAGTTTAATACAATCCGGACATTGATAAGTCTTATCACGTTTCTTTAGTAGACGCATGCGTTCTTTTAATTGTTCGGCTGTTACTCGAGATTTTCGTTTCGATTTTTGGGTGCAGGATGAGTCATCTTTATCTGTTTGAGCTTTGGATTTTCGTAAACGTTTTTTGACATCAATGCTTTTCGAAAAGAACGGCTGACAGTTGCGCGCCACCTTAATGGTGGATTGAGTCTTAAGTTCTGGATAACGATTGGTAATATCTTCCAGCAGTACATAACATTTATCATCTACAGTGTTATTTAAATTTTCGGTGAACTGAAATAAAGGTAGAAAACACACAGCCTTTAATTAAAAACTAAATTCTTTATGTCGTTTTTCACAAACATACCTCTGATTTAACATCTAAAATATCTTCCAAAGGATATTCATCTTCATTGTTATCTTCATTTTTCACCAATACAACTTCAGTTTCCTCCAGAATAAATTCTTCTTCTTCATCGTCTTCATTTTCCAAGGGTTTAGTTGTCGTAGCAGAATACAACCTATCGTTTTTCAATGTGGATTCACCTATAAAATAGAAATATTAAACCACCACAATTGTAGAGGATCTCTTTGCTATATATACCTTCTTTATCCAAACGACTGTAGTCACTTTCGTTGAGTAAACATGCCAATATTTTATCCTTTTCATTGAAAATATTCGAATCTTCATTTTCAGACTTAACCATATTTGTGTCAATTGGCAACGATGTGAATTCCAAATCATTTACCGCTTCAATTTGTATGTGGGTGGTATCATCTTTATTTTCTTGTTTAATTTGAACTGGCAGTTGGATACTTCTATTTTCGGATATATCATAATCATCAGAGTCTTCTTCTTCGGGTTCAAAATCGGGTACATAATCATCTTCACTATCATCTGACCATGTAGTTGTGGTTTTATTGATGCTAGTTTCTGTAGACATTAACGGGTTGAGCAGCGGCTCTTGGAGAGCCGTATCTGCCGCATCATTATCTTTTGAAGTTTGATTTAAAGGTTTCATATTGCATTTTCTTTTTGTTCTTTCCGTTTTTATTAGTTCTTTAAGTGGCTTTTCATCGTCATCATCGCCGTCGTCTTCTTCGTCCTTTGCCCCCGCCCACAAAAGATCCTCATTATCACTTTCTTCAAATTCGATAATTGCTTTTTTAGGTGGCATTTTCTTTTTAGGTCCTCTTTTCTCTGCTCTCTTTGTCACCGCTCCGCCGGTACGTTTACGTGCTGTATCCTTTTCTTTTGCTTTATCTGGGGATTCCTTTTTCATAGCTTGGACCTTTTCCAAATCTTCAGGTTTAATGATTTTATTGACATTAACCACTTTTATTTCAGAATTTGGATTTAAAACGGCTGGAACTGGAAAAAAATGAAAGGATGAAGAATTGACTAATATGTTGGAAATTATTTAAATTTCATAAGTTTTTAATTTATTGACATAAGTAATCCATTTTTTTTGATTAATTGGATAAATGACAGAGAGGCGGTTCCTTACTTCTATTATCCACAGTGGTAATTTATCTACCGACGACTACATCGATTCTCTTATACAATAAGCAAAACTAAAATATTAATTTCATACTTACTTCTTGAGGTGTGTTTTCGTATACGATTCTTTGGCGGATCATATTCAGGACGACCACATGTATCTGGCCTATTACGACGATGTTTTATTAGATTTGAATAACAGGAAAAACGTGAGCTACAGCATTTACATTCAACCAGACGTATACCCGTATGCAGTGACGAATGTGTAACTATACTTTCACGATGGGAAAAGCTCTTGCCGCAAACCTAGATTAAAAATAAAAAAACAACGAAGTAGTTATTTAAAAACTCTTTAAATAAATATATTCGAACTTACATCACACTTGTAAGGCTTCTCTCCCGTATGTGTCCTTTCGTGTTCCACCAATCTGGCTTTTTGTTTAAAATTTCTACCACAATAGCTGCAGCAGAATTTCAGCTCCCCCGAATGATTATCCAAATGGGCTTTCAGATTGTATTTGGTCATAAATGCCATCGGGCATTTATCACATTTAAATGGTTTAATGGCACCACAATCGGTTTCAATGTGTCGACGATATGGTTCCAAGGTTTTATAGGCGGCTCCACATTTTTCACATTTATACAATTCACGATCGACACCCTGGTGAACATCGCGTATGTGTGCCCGATAATTTGTTTCATTTGTAAATGTTGTATCCTTACAGAGCCGGCAGGCTATAGTGGTATGTTCCGTCTCACGATGTTTTTTCAATTCATCTTCGGAACAAAAGCGAGCATCACAAAAACGACACATAAAACCACCGGGTGGTTCATGTTTTTTAACATGTTTTACATAGCCTTGCAATGAGACCAGGGCTTTATTGCATATCGGACAGAAGAGTTTTGGTACACCGTCCGATGCGGAAATTTTAACCAACATCTCTTCCATTTGAGATTTATTTGAGGTTGTTGCTCCATCAAAGTCGCCTAAAAAATGAAAAAAGGGGGTCAAATAAATTAGTTAGTGTTGATGTTAAGGCATGACGATCAAATTGAAGGTCCAGAGACCTCACAATGGAAGGCAAAAATCGGGAAAAGAAGCAAATTATATGCAAGGATTCATCTTCGGAATCATTATTTTTGTTATCCCGCACTGCACTTGAGATCATAATGTACTTTAATGAGTGTTCGCTCAGCTTGAGGTGAATAACAAAAAAAATCTAGTAAATATACGCAGCAGGTGGTTGCGTTTATATCACATTGTCTGTGGCTCATTCATGGTGCAATAATACAAGATAGGACTGTTGAGGTGAATAACAAAAAATCGACTATGTAGATAGTGGCTTATTCTGTCAAATATAAAATAAATATATACACAACAGGTGATTGTGTTTATATGACATTTTTCAACTCATAACTAAAAACGTGAAAAATTAATGAAATGTTATGATTTCGTCCCGGAACTATAAAGGGAATATCATGAAATGTTTGTTTCGTCATAACAAAGTAATGACTTCGGGACTAACGCGGTAAAATTATTTACATTTCAATTAAATTTGAATATATTTAAATTTTATTTGAATTTATTTGACACCCCAGTAGTTTGAGTAACTGGTTATGAACTAGTTATTTTACTAATTACCTGTAACTACCACCCTTTACCCTTTGCACTAGTTATTTTACTAATTACCTGTATAAACCTCTGCGTGTGTTTTCTTACCACCCTTTACCCTTTGCATTATCAGTAACTATTATTTTTATTTACCGAATTGGTATGGTGTGTCCAAATTTAATTAAATAATAAAATAATTTGGAAAAAATAAGGGAAATCAACTTTTTCATTTCATGAATTTTCTTTAAAAAATTACTTTGAAAATATTTTATGAATTCAACAGTCAATTTTGTGCACTCACTCTCTATAGCATTGAAATAGCATGAACTATTATAGCATGTAGTATCGCATCGCTTCTCGCTTGCACTCTGACGTCAGCCTAACTAGATCACCAAGTAACTAGCAATATAACTACATAATAGGATACAATTGATATTTTGATGGTATTCAAAACAATACACACAAACTATGTATTTTGATTTGATAGGACAAGACACGTTGAAAGCCAAAATTGTAATCAGATGGTAGCTATGCCCTACATTGTAATAATTATACCATAGCATTTTCTTTCCTAACAAATTCTATTATGTACAAACGGCCTAATACATACAGTTGTATCAACAAGTCTAAAGTCCCCTTAATTCAGAAATGACCATATGTTTTCAAACAAATACAACTCTGTGTAATAGCGGCCAAATGCAGTCTCCATCCCACCTCATTCGTAAATATTTCTTTAAACTACTTTGAGTTCTTCTTTATCGGGCATTTTGTCTCCACCATTCGTTAGCAGGTGGAACGTTTTTCAATTAATTGGATAACCACTATTGAAAAAACTTTATGGCAAACAAATACAAACCATTAATTAACAACAACAATTAAAATACACAATTTTACTACAACAATAAATATACAAATTACACTGAGAATCTTACCCATTTTGTAATGATTATTTATATTCCAGTCGACTCTTTATTTCAGTAACTTTTCACTCTAATTTCAATGATTTTTTTGTCAATGTTTTGCTTTTTTGCATTTTGTTTGGTGATGCCCCAGCTTACGTCAATAAATATTTACATTATGCTTTCGTTTATATATATTTTGCATATTTAGATATAAACGCTAACTAGATATTTGTTAAATTTATATTCAAAACTTTTATACACATTAAAAAATTATTGTTGAACTTCTTTTTGTTTTGTTGTTTGAGGCAATTCTTTTTCACTTCGCCGCTGTGTAGTCTACACCTTAAGAAATGTCACGTCTATTATGATGGCAAATAGTTCTCTATCAGCAAATGGTGTTGCCATATAGTAAATGTTATATGGGAAAATGTTGTCAAAATATGGTAGCATTATTTGAAAAAAATATTATTATTAATTAAAAATTAACAATTTTATTAATTAAATTTGATTTTATTAAATGAATTATATATATTTCAATCAATTTATTACACTCATGAACAAAATTATAGGTACAGTTTAATTCGTATCATTAATTAAATACCATTGAAGTAAGGCCAAGTATAACAAATACAAAATTGAATTAAGGGAACCCTACCCATTCTCGATTTTAAATTTTCAAGATTTTCAATGGACTGGTAAATCAATACCAATGCTTGTTAAGGTTTGTAAATTTGCACATATATAATTGAAGATTTAAAAGAGAAGAAAAATAATTTACAAAAAATTTTTGTTATTGTTTTTTGTTGGTTTTGTAATTAAAGAAAAGTCCTTATTTTTTATGGCGGGCATGATAACTCCTCACTGGAACATCGAAATCCGAAAATTCCAACGGTGTTAGAAAGATTACATGTCTGGATTATGACTTCGCTCTAAAATTAACAAAATGGCGGACCTTTGAAAAAATATTTTTGGAAAATCGCCGATTTTTGACCAGAAACCAAGTTAAAAAATAAGGAAGATCTTTACCGATTGGCTTTATCCTAGTTCATACGATAGCTATACACTCACAGAGAGAGAAACGTGTAAAAATTTGGAATCGATTGGGTTATTAGTTTTTGAGTTATCGTGCCCGCCATTCGCAAGTTTGAGAAGCCCTTTAGCTGTCACTTGATGCTGACACAATAAATCGGCTATATTTTCAAGAATTCTTGAGATTTCCACTTGAAATTTTGTAGGGACATTCTTGAATTAATGTAGATTCGAATTAAATCAAAAAAAAATTGTTGACCCCGAGAATGGGGGGAGGGTCCCCTTATGATGCAACAAGAGTTCCCTGATTGTACACGGACAAACTTCAAGGTATTTTTTTTTTTTTTTAATTCCGTAGCAGAGGTTTTAGGTTCATCACTGAGGGTTAATAATAATCTTATTTCTTGAAATTGACATATGCTTCTATTTCGTCGACGCTTTTGGTTTGGGAGATAATTTTATGACGTTATAGATCATTTTCGCAGAACAGCCAACCACATTTTGTACAAATTTATAAGTTTTTCCATCCGAAATCAACTTTTTTATGAGTTCTCTTTTTTCTTTGGTACAATGTTTTCCGCGGCCCATTTTAAATAAACTTTTTGTCATACAGTGCACCGATTTGAGTTTTTGTTATATATTATTTTAAAACAGAAATAAGTTTATCACAGAATCAAATTAAAAATCTGAATATTTATGCGCTTTTACACTCTTTCTTACTCCACTGCTATTATTTTGCAAACGAAAATAAAAGAAGGACATACAAAAAGAACGGTATTTTTTAGATTATTTTCAAGCAATGCCATAAAGGATGCCACAAAATAGTATTTAAGAAGGAAATTAGCTGCTAACATGTTTTTAAATATAGCGCATATATTAAGAAGTAGTATTGAATTGATATTAATTTGCACGCTACTGTACGTTACTGAGTACAGGTATGCATAAACTCACCTTTTAGTATTCAATCTCGATTAGCTAAATCGATTTAGTGTTGTGTGTCCCTTTATCCATTATTATTTTTTGTAAAAGTACATCCGATATGTATGTTCGGTTCGTGTCAACAATGACACCTATTGTTTTTTGGTAAAAAAAAACATAATATTTGTCTGTTTTTCTGGTCCCTTTAGAGGTCACAATTTTTCTGTAATATTAATAAGTTGTGAAATTTTGGATTTATCTCCGCAGAAATGGGCTTTCTATTGTCCACAATTCCATGCCTACGCACTTTGATCTTGCTCACAGTTCTACCTCGCTTATTGACTATTTTTTTATCAGTGGTCTCATGAGGCTGGGCTTTTCCTCGCAGGGACAATGCCCTAGCATATCTCACCACGCGCTTATCTTTGGGATGATTGATTTACCTATAGTTGTTGAAGATAAAGTAATGTCAAAGATAGTATATAGTATCATGATTTTTGTAATGCGGATTGGGTGGGTATTTATGATTTTGTGTTTAATTTTGATTTTTCTCCTCTGTATCTCACCAGTGACGTAGACAGCCTACTGGCCTTGTTTGAGACGTTATTTTAGCGTTTGCTATTTTTTGTTCCTTTTGCTACTTGTCATGTAAACCAAAAAATTAATGAGTGGTTAAATTCTGATGTGGTGAAGTCAGCTCGTTCGATTCGGGATTTAGCTTACTGATGACAATAGACGTATATATTGTATCTGCAGAAATCGTTGCAAAGCTGTTATGCGTAATGAGAGAAGAAAATATTATGAAAAGTTGTTCGATCGTATGAACAGTAGTTAATTATGGAAGTTCCTTTAGATCCTTTGGTTGTCCAGATTGTGGTGATGATATTCCTTTTATTGATGTTAATACTGTTATTGATTACTTTTGTAATGTGGGCAAATCTAATCCTGGTGAGAATGTAGGAATTGATGGTGCCTTTGTTCAAGAGTTATTTAGGTTTTACTGCGTGTTTATGGAGGATGTTGAAAGTGCTCTCCGCAAATGCCTGAGTCGTTCTCAGTATGGTTTTCGGCATGGCTGCAGTACAACGTTGCACTTATTATCCCTTACTGATGTTATTCGCGATGTTTTTGATGGTTCTGATGTTGGTCTTGATTTGTCTAAGGCCTTTGATTCTATTAACCACGCGCAGCTTATACGCAAGCTTAGAGTCAAATTTGGGTTTTCCGTTTCGGCCTGTAGACTAATTTCGTCATATCTGGCTATGTCGTTGTTGATGTCTCAGGTAAAGTATTGTTTGGATGTAATTTTGGGCTCTAATTCTGGTCATTTGCATCGGCTTCAAAAGGTTGTTAACTCCATTGTTCGTTATGTATATGGTTTGGATCGTAGTCATCATGTTTCCTAATTTTTGGTTAAATTTGTTGGCCTATCCTTTGATAAGTATGTTGAAAATCGTATCCTTTTGTGTTATTATAGAATTATGAGAAATGTTGATTTACCTCTATACAGTAGGTTTGTGATGTGTAGATCCTCTCGGAACCCTCAGTTGTTGTATCCGAGGTTTTCGCTGTAATTTATGAACTACTACTTTAACTACAAATGATCTGTAGTTAGAGTCGTAAGATTGTGGAATCAGCTGCCTTTGAGTCTTCGTAAGTTTACATTTACGTATAGGAGGGAATTGTTTGTGCATTTGTCTCGTATTTGATGAAGTTGGCTTTGAAGAAATCGCTGATTACCGGCTACACAGTGTTACTTTGCCTTTTTTAATTCATGGTTGGGGAGCCATCTTTATTTAAGTTCAATAGCATTTATTATTATAGATTAATACATACGCGCTGATACATATGAAATTTAATGTGTGTGGTTCTAGTATTGCTCTTGGGTTCGAGAGGGATATATAGTTTATTTTTATGTAGGATTCCTTATGCTTTCTTTCTTTTTTGGAATGGTTTGGGGTTCTTTTTTGGAATCTGGTTATATTAGTTGTTTGCATTAAATTTCATTTTGTAGAGTTATTGACTGTTATGTATTTTTAATTTATTTAGTTTATTCTTTGTTTGGATTTTTTTGTTATATAAGTTAATATAAGTCATTGGTCATGCTGGCTTTTTTATATTACAATGGATGAAATAAATTAAATGAAATTTAAAGTTCAGTGGTAGATATGCAGGGTATCATATGTTCGGGCCCGTTCGACTGGTAAGACGGATTTTTTGGTAATATTTTTTTAATGCAAATCTTTTATTAATATTATTCATGGGTCCATAATAATCATGGATATTTTATTAATAAGCATGAATTTCTTACATATTTTTCACAAAACCACAATATAGGAACTTCGGGTAATGTGGACTATGCGTCTAATGTGGACCACCCCCCATATCTAAGAAAATGCTTGAAATATGCCAATGCCGCCTTCATAAATGTTTTCCAAATTAGTGAAAACAAACATCAAACTTGGGTTTTAATAAATAATTGCAATGTTGAAAATTTAGTAGTAGAAAATGTAGCTCTCATTGTAAAAGTGTGTTTTGAGCATTTTTTTAGCACAATAGTCGAACGTTTTTTCAAAAAAGTCGAACACTTTGTTTTTCTCGAATATAAAGAAGTTATGTGGTTTTCTTTTTTTCTTTAACAAAAATAAACATTTAGCGGTAATTATAATCGGTGATTTTTAATTTTTATTCATTTTTGAAGCCGATAATTATTTTTTTCATGAGGACGATTTCGAAAAATGGGCGCATTTTGTATGCGAGGAGGCATTCTATCCTCTGAAAACTCGATATGCGAAATTACAGGTGATTCGGTTGGATAATAAAGCAAGGACCTTCAAAATACATACAAATGAGGCGGTATGGGGTTTATTCCAAAACATGAAACCATATATATTTGCATTCATTGTTACCCGACAGTGTAATGAATTCAAATTTATCACAACCAATCCACAACCTTCCTTTAACTTACTGATCCTCAACCAGTATGTGTGTGTGTGTGGGTAAACATACTGGTCCACATTACCCGCCAAGTTATTTTTATTCGCAGTTTAGAGTTTTTTGAAATGTAATGCAATAACATTTTTATAGACAAATATATATAATGTTTGACCTGGAATATATTTAGCCAACAAATCTGCTATGTTGTGAAAACAATTTGTTTTTATTTTTTACCATTGTTACACCCACAATATCAAACAATGAAAATGGTGGTCCACATTACCCGAAGTTACTCTAACAATGAAATTGACAATTGAAACACAATGTTGTTAAGCATTTGCTTTGTAAACATTTTTCCAAAGGCGATCAATGAGTTTGAATTTTTAAATTTGATAGAAACATTATTGCAAATAATGGCAATTTTTTAATAAGTTACAACTTATTATTAAGATTGGGGCAACATTAAAAAAAAAATCGTATTGGATCTGAATCATTCGTATTATAATATTATCAATAGATTCAGACAGATAACTATTTTTTATTTAATAAACGTTGTTTCAAATATTGAATTGAAATCAAGGTAACAGGAAGTAGAGCGCAAACTAGTTTTAATAGTAAACATGTTTCACAACCCAATAATGTGTATGAGCGTTACAAACTTTGTTACTATCAAAACTGAGCTTTATTGAAATAACCGGTTTATAATACATTTGTATAGTACTGGTTTTAGTAAATCCAGCGGGTTTCAAATGCCAATTCCATTGCACATCTGTATATAAAATAAAACCTCATAGAGGACGTTAACCCTGCAAAAAGTTCTAATGTACATGGCTTCAAGTGTTATTGGACAGACAACTTAGAGTGGATTACGAAATGTGCTTCAACTTGTTTGGTTGTGGAGAACGATAATTCACGAAGGAAGCAACCAATTTTGCACAAAACCTTGATTAATTTCAAAAATAGAACCTATTGGTTAAATTATTTTTGGTACATCTTCAAACTTACTGTCATTTTAAGAATTGTAAGGCGTAATCCAAGTCTGTTGTTTTATAAAACAACTATTTATAAATTGGCTATAACCGTTTTTTTTTTTGTAAAAATAAGGGAACTTATGAGGATTAGTGGCAAGACCCAAAAATATATTCTATATAAATAGTTTTGTTTATTAAATAACAAAATGTGATTAAGCCTGACTATTTTGCAGGGGGGAGGGGGTATTTCCCTTAACGTTTACAATATTTTGATAAAATTGAGTTACATAAAGCATTGTTGTATCTGGCATGAATATAAGAGAGTATGGACTGAGTTATAACAATGAAATAATTTATAGAAATTCACTTTAATGGTTTTGCCATTTTTGGTGTTCGTTTAAAACGACGGTGGTCTCAAATATGTTAAGGTTATGGTTTGCCTAGGCTTAAGGAAGTTATTCCTAACGGTACTGCATGATTAAAAGTATGAATCTCCCTTTTCATTTTGCTGTAGGTTGAATCTCATGATTTAAAGGTTTTAGCTGATGTTGCACACTGCCACCTTAGGGGACCTTTCCTCGGCGAAAATATGAAATGGAATTTTCGAATATTAGTATTCGGATCATTATTCTGTATGCATTCAGTAATGCCAATTTTTGTTTCTATTATTACTCCAATTTTTATAGAATGGACTTTCCTTGAACAATGGTAAATACGGCTGTGGTATTCTTGGGAAAATAATAAACAAAATTTCTATATTTTTTCTTCAAAACGTGATGTAGACAACATATCAGAATAAAACTGTTTTCATTAAGCTGCCATATATTAGCTCTGATTTGAAGTTAATTGGGGGATGATAATTTCTACTTCGAATCCGTTACCTTCGAATGTAAACCAAGAAGTCAATGCTAAGACATTTTGTAATGCACTTTTTATTTGGCTTTGAAGTGGATATCTGCAATGTTTAATATTTTTCAGTGGCTTTGTATTTATAATTTCTAATATATTTGGTCGGAACCTTATATTAAATTTAAAGACATTTTATATTTGCTGTTGTTCTTTATTTCGTTTTAAATAGTTTATTCTTTAAACTTAACAATATATTCTCGTAAAAAAATTAATAACATTCAGTTTATGTATGTATTTTTCATTAATTTAATTAATGTTTTTCTTTTGTTTTTTAGCATTAGTCTCCTCTAAAATACAAATAGTCTGTTTAATAAAGCGCATTTGAACCACTTAAGCATAAAAAGGGGGTTTTTTGTTGTTGGTTGATTGGTATGTTGGTTGTTTGTTTCATTGTTTCTTTGAGTTCCTATAAAATAGTATCACTTGTTCGTTGTCACATGTATGTATGTATAAAAAATACTTAACAAAATTAATTAAATTAAATAATATTATTTACAACATTTTGTTTTTGTTAAATAAAATTACAAACTAAAATTAGTCATGTATGATCGGTACTGGATGCTACGCTATATTCTATGCAGATGATCATGGGTCTTTTCATAATGTTCGATTTTTTCGATAATGCGATCATTTATCATCTCTTTGACATTGACTGACCACAAGAAATCATAATGATTCCAATCATCATAGGGTATGCGATAGAGTTCAGCACACGGCAGCAGCGATGCCAGATATTCGACATCTTCCACAGCGGACATATAATCATTGTTGCTGTAATAGAGATTAACACAACTTTTGATGTTGCTAACCTCGTAGTGTGGTGGTGTTTCCTGATTGTATTTTTTGAGATTTAAATGAATGCCATGATCGAATTGTTTAAAATCTCCCGATGTGTACAATTGCAGGTAGTGTATAATTTGTGTTGTTGATGCTCCAGCCGGGTGGGTTTCACATACATGAGGCAATAGTGTCTGAAATAAGGAAAATAATTTTAAAAATGTGTTATTATATAAATTTCAAGAAAAAGAGAATCGAATGTGTCGATTTGATTCATTACTTACATGATTCAAATGCCTTGTACCCCAGCCACCAATAAAATTCAAAATGCCCGAGCATAGAAATTTAAAATGTGAATTTGGCGAGCAAATATATTCACAAAATAATTTCTGGACACTTGTTGTGGGTAGCAGCTCAAAACCAGCCAGGACCATACTCAAAAACGATGGATAACCCAAAAAGATGCCACCCACCTTCGAGAGGACAAAGGAATGGTTACGCATAAAGGCGATGGGCGCCAGTAAATGGACCGTTCGCACTTTCTCATTATACCATGGCATTGATGACATTAGCACAAAGAAAGTTGTGGTACCCTGTGAATGGGCAACAAAGTGTACCGAACCCACTCGTGTCTCATCAAGTACATAGTCCAACATTGCCGTCAAATCATAAACACCAATTTCATGCCAACTAAAATTCCAAAAGTCCGATGAATCTGGACGTTTGTGTTTATGCTGGCGAGAATAGGTATTACCGCGGGCATTGCCCAGCCACACATCGTAACCCATATCGGCGAACATATAGGCCAGTGAGGTTTCTGGGCCATTTATAATCCAATCATCTGAGGCGCACAATATACCATGTTGGAGAAAAACCACCGGTTTTATGGTAACATTATGATCGCGCAATTTCGGCGAATCGGGTATGCGATACATGGTGAGTATGTAATCATCATTGGTGTGCACTGTATGCTCTTCAACGGGATAATTATGATTTGATATTAATTTTGCCTGAAAAGAAGACGAAGAATTAAATTCAATTATAATTTTGAAAACATAAATAAAGTTCATTAACTTTTTTTTAGAAAAAAATATTTAATTTTAAAATTTTTAAGATTTTATTTATAACATTTTAGGTGTTAAAAATAGCCCAAAAAGCAAAAGAACATTAGCAAAATAATTGTTGAGGCGAATAGGAAACATTTGTTTGATGTGTGTTCGTTCTTACGTCAATATCGTATTAATCTTCTCGAAGCGTGTGTAATATTCTACAGCGAATGATTTTGTGTGTTTCTGGTTTTGCAAAGAATCGCACTTTACTTGGCACAAGTAAATGTGGTGGATATACTAAACAAACAAATAAATATGTGTGTATTTATTTTATACATTTAAAATTCTCAGAAAATTAATTTTCTTAATAGGGTTTACCGGGATTTTTGAAGAACTGTAGTGGAAATATTAAAATAAGGCAGCGAAGTCGAATTCAGTTTCAACATTTTAAATTTTATTTGGAAAATAAATCGGATTTTCCTTCGCAGTATATCCAAAACGTGGGGTGGTTGGTATAATTAAACATGAGCGGTTTGTATGGGATCGTTGACTTGGTAGAAACTCCAATGATCACCAATATTTAAAATTGGTTATGGTTTTCTGGTTGCCTATTTTCCTCCATAAACACCATTCCCACTAAAGATGCAGCAACGGCAACCCAAATCATCACGTTCATCATCATCATCCATATACAGTCACTTCCAAATATATTGTGCTTCGATTCATCTGTAAACAAACCAGCGTCAATTCCCTTATCAATTTATTTTTGGGTGAATTCCAATTGAAGCTTACGACTTTTCTCGTTTTTAGGCGATTTCTTTACGAGGGGTTCGATTTTGAAACGGTTATCATTCAAAGCTCTTTGTATAGTTCGTGGTTGTACAACTGTTCTCGACCTTACTGCAAGTATTCCGGCATTTTCTTTCGGATTTTACCCACTTTTTTAGAATGAAACTGACATCTCTCCGATATCAATATGTTTTTAGGCGAATTCCAATTGAAGCTTATGATTTTTCTCGATTATAACTTGGTTTTTTGAAGGGTTCTACTGTGAAAATCGTTATCATTGAAAGTTATTTTTATGGTTCGTGGATGTACAACTGTTCCCGACCCTACTGTAAGTTTTTCAGCTAGATTTGCGGAATTTTCTTTCAGGTTTTTAAAAACTTCTTTCAGAATGAAGCTGACGTCTCTACGATTTCAATATATTTTTGGGCAAATTCCAATTGAAGCATACGATTTTCCTCACTTAATAAGCGGTTTCTTTTCGACTGTGGAAACCTGTATTATACAAAGTTCTTTGTGTAGTTTTACCCACTTCTTCCAGAATGAAGTTGATGTCTCTCCGATACCATTTTTAAGGCGAATTCCTATTGAAGCCTACTTATTTCCTCGCTTATAAATATTTTTTCGAGGTTTCGAATGGGGAAACCGTTATAACTTCTATAGAATCTTAAGAATTTTCTCGCTTATAAATGTTTTTTTCGGTTCGACTGTGGAAAACTTACTGTAAGTTTTTCTGCTATATTTAAAGGGTTTACTTTCGGATTATTATCCACTTTTTTTAGAATGACGTCTCTATTTTTGGCGAATTCCAATTGATTTTTTTACTTATAAGTGTTTTTTTTAAGGGTTTGACTGTGGAAGATGTTATCATTCAAAGTTCGCGTAACTGTTCTCGACATTATTGTAAGTTTCGGCATTCTCTTTCGGATTTTACCCACTTCTTTAAGAATTAAACTGTCGTGTCTCCGATTATTCTTCTTTGTACGGACAGTTCGCAATTTGATTGTAAATAATCAAAGTTTGTAAAATTTAGCTATTTTTTCCTCGAGATTTTTTCTCTTTTTCTATATTTTACTAATGAATTCCTCAAATCGGTACAAATCTCTTTTCGAGCTATTTTGACAATTGCAAACTTCTAGTACGTTGTCCCGTATATATTCCTGATCAGAATAAATGCCGCATGTACGTTCGGTGAGTATTTAGTAGAAGCTTTCTTATTTAAAATATTCCAAACCAAAAATTCACTTGAATAGTTCGGAGCCACACAAGAAGTCTTCATCAATGATTTAATCAAAAAGAACAGAGAATTTCCCTATTTTCTATTTAAACATCCTTTCTGGCGCTTTGATTTTTCTTATACAAAACATATTAAGGGTTTGTGAATTATAATATTCTTCTTCTTATTTTCAGTAGCATAGGTGTTTTAAAAAAGTTCGTACCGTCCCAAATTTACGACCTTTTTATTTGTTAATATACATATAATCATTTAGAGATTCCTACAGTAGACTCCAGAAATATATATGAAATATCTTTCCTCATTTATTATATTATTATTCTAATACCATATAAATTCATAAATTCCCATTAGACAAATTTATGACATGACTTAATAAACTTATCGCGCATCATACCACCACCCCTAATCAATTAAACAGTAAATAAAAAAATACAAAAAATACACAACACGTTTCACGTTTAATCATTTTTTTGTTTGCAAGCACCCTGCCCCTTTTGTGTGCAAAAATAATAACAACACTATTGAACTATATTCAGTCTCACGATCTTTTAATGGCACCAGCCAATCCATATGGCATACATTTGGACGAACATACATAGCCTATCCACTAATTAAAAAACAACGACAAAATCAAAAGATAATTAAAATCTTACTACCAAGTATATATACCGTATATACCGCAACGTCAACATACACACTCAAATGCTTAATTTTTTTGCAATTGCAAAAAAAAAAACACACACATCCACACAATTGCTCACAAGCCAAAGTCCATTCAGTTCCTCAAAATGATGTAGACCTGTTGTATATGCCATAGAGACTTAAAATGGTAATTTGTATAATAATTTATTTTTTTTTCGAAACGCAGCACAGCGACAGCAGAATTTTATACAGTAATGAATTGTCAAGTCAAATATCAACACCCACCTAACACCACCATCGGCGGACTTATTGAATCATTTCATTGCATACACGGTGCCTCTCTTCCCTTTCTCACAAATCAAACACTTTTAAATAAAAATCTTCTCCATGTCGGTAGTAAATTGACGTTCTCTTTCCCTTGACCATTGTATGTATTTGATAGTGGCGGAATCCCCTTTTTGCCACTCGACTCCCCCATTGGGTTTGATAGCATGATTCTTATCATTAACAATAAAATACTAAAAATTGAGTCAGAGAATATATAGACTTTGGTATGGTCAGGGTACGGAAATTATATATTTATACATGGCGTGTTTGAGGTAGATATTTGTTATAGTAGAAATCAAGGTCCATTAAACAGGTCGCATAAGAAGCGAATATTATCGGCATTTTTGGTTTAAAATCCCCCATACTAGTTGTGTCTGGATACTTTCCCAGTAATATTTACTCAGTAAATTCTATTTCAGTAACATTCAGTAAGTTCTCAGCGTAGAACATTAGGTAACAACCCAGTGGGAAACGTAAGAACGAATTACATTGAGAATCGATTTAGTAATACATTATATAATGTATCCGTAAGAATCGAGAAAAAATATAATAAAATATATGAATAAAAACAAATTATTTAATGAAACTCGGAGAATAAATAATTTATCATATTAATAAGGTCCTATAAAAGAATATATTATCAACCATCTATTACATTATGCATTATATGGATAGAGCAAACATCAGCTGATTGACATTTAGATTACGTGATTACAGGTATATGTAAACAGATAGCGTGTATTTCTGGATCTGTACTGTACTTTAAATCCACACAATATCACGATTTGTTCAAAATCCTATTCTAAATCGAGATAATTTCAAATACAACCTTGCTTTGTACTAAAAACGTATAACTCCTCCTAAAAATACCAAAATGGCAACGCTTTTCGCCTCAAAATAGTTTTCTACCAGAAATGTGGCATCAGTTGAGAAATTCAAATTTTATTTAAATTTATAATGATTATTTCTACAAATTAAAAAAAGGCGTTTGTATACAATTATGGCTTTTATAGTGATAAAGTTCATTAGAGCACGTTTAGACTACTAAATCCACTCAATCTTAAAGGTAGGCTATAGCAACTTATAAATTAAAATTTGTACATACTGTGGCTTGTTATGTCAAAGTCGTAAACAAAATGTGTGACTGTTTAGGTAATAATTTGAAAAATATAAAAAAATATATAATCCATTCGATAAATTTAACAACATTGGTAGGAAGGAATTTATGATTTATGGATGAAGCAATATCTAAATCATATTCTAAGTCGACTTTGAAAAAAAAGTCAGACCTTCCATTTATTTTTCACATTTTTAGTAAAATTTTAAAACTAGGTCAAATGAAAAGAAAGATTTGTTGCAGTTGTTTTTATTTATTCTGGCATTATAAGCCAAAAGGTAGAGCTGTATTTTTTCTTTGTTGACAAAATATACCTTGTATAATTTTACCATGATATAAAGTTTGTATGTAAATTAATTTGCATTAAATCTGTTCATAGGATACCGTATAATCAAATCACTTTGAACTTTGCATTTTTCGCAAATTATAATTGATAATGACTTTTGTTTTTCATTTTGCAAATAATAATGTTCATTGTGGTTTTTAACTATTAAAATTGCGTAGTAGTTGTGTTCGCTGGAGGTCTTTTGATAATTTTTCAAGTATTCCTCAATGAGGGGGACCACGAGACTTATATGCTTATTTTTGCAAATTGTTGTTGATAATTTTATTATTGTAGTTTGTTCAAGAAAAAGTTCTAATTATGTTGTTTGTGTTGCAGAGAAAGTCATAAGATAATGTTTTTAGTGGTGATAACTACCCCCCATCGCGAAAGGAACTATAAAATCTATCATAATTTACTTTATTTGGTTTTGCGTCGCATTTTATAATCTGGAGCGTGTGTACATAGTTTGCAAAAAATATGGGAAACAGCAAATGATTTATGAGATAATTGTTAATTTTTGCGTTTTT